CTTTGTCTGAAGTTTACCTTCAATGAGTGTTTCCGTGAGTTTGTTCCCTGAATTTTTCAGGCTAATCGGCCTATAAGCCAGTGATGCTTTCGGATGTGTTGGGGGTTTTTCAATTAGTATGAGTTTGGCCGTCTTCCATTTGGTTGGGAAGTGTCTTTCAGTATAGTATTCGTTGAACATCTTTAGATAGAGTGACTTGGATTTTCCTACACATGCCTTGAGTACCTCAATCGGTATGTTCTCTGTACCAGGGGATTTTTTATTCTTTAATTCTTTTAGCGCATTATCTGCTACTGAAAAGCTCTTTGCGAGTTTGTCCACTTTCTCCGGTTTGAGCTGTCTTGACCGATTACATTTATATTTGCGTGTTTCCGTTTTTCCAGTTCGATATCATAGCTGATTGTCCTGTGGTCGCTCATGTTTTCAGTGTCTACCATCACTCCCATTTTGTTACATGGTGGGCAAAGTCTCCGGTTGGCGCAGTGAAATTGATCACAGACTATCCGTTGCATCTAACAAAGGTAGGCATGCTGCTCTCGTTCAACACAAGTTTGTTGGCTCCCGACCAGTTCTCTAATGTGTGTCGTCTCTGGTTTGTATTCATTGATCCTATTGCCAGAGTTTTGGTGTTCAAGTCGAACGCGATAATAATTTTCCTCTGAAGAATCTTTTTGTATTAGATCATTCTCATTCATACCTTGGAAAATCCTCTCGAAATCCTCAAGGTCGCCGTTTGGGGAGAAATAACAGGATATAATCGAAAATTCTTGAAATTTCAAACATACAAAACTTCTCCTAATGTCCTTACTGGCCAGTAGAGGCAGTTTTGCTGCTGCGAAAACTTGTATGAAACTTTCGCATTCAGAGTCGCGGGAGTACCTTATACTTCTTCCCTTGTTTGGTTCGCAACCGTCAATAATATCAATCTCCTCTTCTTCGGCGAATTTACACATGAGATTATGGGCAGCGTGACATCTTTTAATCAGCTGAGCTATTTTTACCTTTTCTTCGTGCTATTCATCATTTTGGAAGTTGTGATACACACCTACTTCTTCGACATCCTGTGTTTTATTTACATTGTGAATTTCCTTGCGTCTGACAGACATCGCCCTGCGGAAAGCCTTGCACCTGGCAGTGCCCGTCCTGTGGTCCTCTCCGTTACATAACTGGCATGACGCCTTTTTCTTTATTATGAGGTCAATAGGGGATGTCTCCGCTATGACGGGCATCCGTAGAGACCGAGCAGTATGCGCTTTTAATTCTTATTGCAGATTTTCTTTGGAGTTTCTCATATGTTTTTCTGTTTCATGGCATCTTGCCATGCGAATACTGCGTATAGCAGTATACAGTTGAGGATGGAGTACAGCGGCCTTCTCTTCGCAGCTTGGGGACCGCCGACGTTGGGCATCAGTCTTCCAAGCGCCATCATGGTATTTCTGGCTCTAGTGGCAGTTTGTTGTACATGTTCTCTGAATGTCAAATTACTATCTATCCAGACGCCTAAAAATTTCACTGCCTTTTTAGGTATAATTTCCCTCTCCAGTATTCAAAAGGTTCTTTGTGGGGTGTTCCTCTTTGAGGAGAGTATGATTATTTCCGTTTTTTCTGTAGCTAGCTCTAGCTGGTTGTCTTGTAGCCATTTCTGTATCAGTTTCATTGACGTCTCCATTCTGATCTGTAGTTCTCTAGTGTCGTTTTTTGTTATTACCATGGCTATATCATCTGCATATCCCACCAGTACGACGTTTTTAGGTTGTTTCTTGTTTCTTCTCCAGTAGCCCGTCATATAAAATATTCCAAAAAGTTGGTCCAAGGACTGATCCCTGTGGAACACCACATGTCATTGCAAATTCCTCGGTCTTTCTTCCGGCTTCCAGAAGGACAACCCTGTCTGTTAGCTAAGCTTCTCATTATCCCGACAAGATAAGATGCGGTTCCTCTTCTCCTTAGTTCAGTGACTATGTTTGTCTATGGTGCAGAGTTGAAGGCATTTTTTGTGTCTAATGTAACTAGTGCACCAATTTTCCTGCGTCGGTGGCTTCTTCTGTATATTGCTTCTCTCACCGGTTTCGAGGCTTCCTGGACTGCGTTCACGGTCGACCTGTTTTTTTCTGAAGCCAAATTGCCTTGCTGAAAGCGTCTCATTTAGGTTTAGATTGTCCGTCAGTCTATAGTTAAGATAATATGTTCAAGTAGCTTGGCATCTGTGTTCAGGCAGGAGACATACAGAATTTCATCTGTTCTTTGGGGTCCTTTTTTGGTTTCTCAAGTAATGCCAGTCTAGCTCTTTTCCATATTAATTGTTGGGAAGTCTGCTCTCAATATGGCATCGTTCAAGAAGGGTTTCAGGATATTTGGGCACTTTTGTGCTATTGCTTTCAATATTTCGGGTGGTACTCCGTTTAATCCTGGGGCTTTGTTGATTTTAAGATTTTTCGCGGCAATTTTTATTTCTCCCTCGCTACCTGAGGTTAGATTTGTTCGACTCGGTTGGTCCGGTCCCAGACCGTTTTGTTTCTTTTCGGGAACATCTGCTGCGCTTTTTTGTTTGTTTCTTTTGTTGTTCCTTGTTAGCACCTTTTCAGCTTTTAGGTAGGTTTTCCTTAGCTCTGCTATTTCATCGGTCCACCAGTATGCTGGCTTCTTCGGGATACTACGGCTTTGAGTTGAGAGGTATTGACATAACATATTTTCACCAGTACTTGGCCAACTTGTTCCACTGTTCTTGGGGGTGCTCCTTTTTCAGTATTTCTTATGGCCTCTTCAAGCTTCGTTATGTTTATTCTTTTGGTATTCCATCCCTTCGGCTTTATTGGCGTTAGTTGTTTTTTTTTTTTCTGTGGGAGTTTGATTTCAAAGAATATGTAATTGTGATCGCTCATCGTTTCTAGTTCCAGCGTCTCCCAGTTTATAACTCTGGATCCAAGGTTGCCCCTTGTCATTGTTATGTCTACTATGGAACTAGCTTGTCCTCTCTGAAAAGTTGCTATGGTGCCTGTGTTCATGGTCGATAAGTTGCGGCAAGCCATTCATTCTGTCAGAACTGTGCCTGTTTGATTTGTCTCCGTCATTCCCAATTCTATAGCACTAGCGTTGAAATCTCCGGTTATGAGGATATCTTTCTGTGTGCTGTCTATTGTATCCCAAACTAACCCAAACTATCCCACAATAAAAAACTAACCTAAACTAGCCCAAACTAACCCGGGAAAAAAAAAGTCGGGATTTTTTTTTTAAATTCATTTCACTCTCAATCGTTCTCAAATGTAACCTGCGAAAATGACAAACTTTACTAGACACGGTACATCAAAGTAAAACTATTTTAATCCATATTAATCTAATTTGTGAATATTTCAAAAACTTAATATATTTTTTTTTTTACATTGTTTGACTTTTTGGTTCCTTTGAGGCGGGGCAGTTTTTTTACCTGAGAAATTTTGTTTATTGTAACATCAAATCGATTTAATACATAATTTTTTTCAATCATTCTTGAAAGTAAACGTAAAAATATGAAAATAAGTAATTTTGTTATTAAATTTCTTTAATAATATATCGCTTTGAATTTACTTAGTTTTCGTTTTTATATTTGAACGCGCTCGTAGAAAAAATAATGTTCCTAACTCATGCGGAAAGTGTCTTTCCCGCACTCGACTGCTTGCCCGAACTCCGCTTCGCGTCGTTCGGGTCAACGGCAGTCGCGTGCGGGAAAGTATCACTTTCCGCACTTGTTAGGAAAATAACTATTTCCGCACTTATTAGGTAAATAGCTATAATTTCTCTATAATAATTTTTGAGGAAGTGGGGGCTCACAATATACACAAAAAAATAATTGGTGATAACACAAACGATCTATCAGGACTATCAATCACTATCAAACGATTGAGGGTGAAAAAAGTCAAAAATTCCGATTTGAGGGGGGCTAAGTTTACCAGAGGTTATATCTTTGGCGTAAAGCCATTTGACAGAAAACAGGCAGAAAAAAAATATATTCGCAGAAGAAAGTCTTATTAACAGTTTTAGTTATTATAATATGTATTAGGCAGTTGCGGCTTTTCCTAAGGTTTGCAGGTTTGCGCAATCCCCAAAACAAAAGTTGAAAACAAAAAAGAACTAATATTTTAGTACCCAATTATATTTTAAAAATAAATTATTCCAAAATTTGGTACCTACATAATACGCGAGGAGCTGTCCCGCAGTTAATTTATTAAGATAATTCGACCACCTTCGCCAAAATGGCAATAAATGACTCGCCGCCGCGCCGGATTGCAGCTTGAATGGAACCCGATCGGCTTATATCACGGCGCATATGTGGTGCCTATCTATACGTGGATTTCAATTCCGTCCCATAAGCTCCAGCAGGTTGCAGGCGAAGTGCAAACTTTCTTCACATTTTTGCGCGCATCGCAGATTAGGTTTGTTTTAAAATATTTAATTTTAGTTTGTGGTGTGGTGCGTGACAAAAAAATGTTCAAAGTTTAATTGCAGAGCCATTCTGTGGTCGATCATTATCCGATAAGGCTGAAATTGGAATTGCAACCCCCACATTTCTAATATGGGAGCCGCCACTAGTATTAGGTACCTATAATAAAAATATACATCGACTTAAATAGGTTATTCATTTGAACTAAAATTGGAATAAATTTTCTTAAAAAACTCAATTTAAACACAACATAAACAACAAATATGGCTACTGTCAAAAATATTAGCGGCGACACGGATGAAAAGTTGAAATAATTCAACTCGGAAACTCGTCGCTGGCGACAGAGGAGTGGGGAAAACCTGTCAATTGAATGCTCGATTCCTATTGGTCACCAAGGTGTCGCTGGTCACACTACTGAGAACGAGGTTTGGGGATGACGAAAAAATTATCATGAGCTTTAAAACCAATGCAACGCTTTTATCGTGCCTGAGCTTGACGGCTGACGGACCACATTATCAATAATTGCGTCTCTCTTGTGTGTGCCCTACCCAGTTGGCTGACTTTAGACCAATATTGCCAAAAAATGTCAAAGATAATTGAAAGATTTGTCGCTGACCAACTCACAGCATTTCTTTCAAGTAGTTACAAATCGCCATCCACTCAGTCAAGATTCCGTGAATACCACAGTACCATCGACTGCTTTGTTACATATACCTCCTGTCTGATTTTGCTAGACTTCAGTAAAGCATTTGATACTATAAACCATGACATTGTACGGATGAAACTTCAGTATCTTGGTTTGGGAGCAATGTCCTTGATTTTTTTTACTATTTCACTGATAGGTCTCAAAGAGTGTAACGCTCTTTTGTTGGAATAAAAGAATGCTCATACCTAATTGTGCTCGACTATGCTCAGTGGTTCTTTAGCTTGGGGTGGTCCTTGGTGTTGGTACAGTAGAGAGAGGGCGCCACTAGTTTGTATAAAATTATTTTGATTACAAAAGAATAGCCAAACTAGACACTATTCAAATAATTAGCTATTATTTAAAAAGATAAATACAAAAATCTGAAAAGGTAGAACAAATCCAATACCTATCCGACATTTAACTCCTTCAATAAAAACACAAGATTTGGAATTCTAAAAACAATAATTTATTGACAGGATGGCGAACTTGTTCATTAACATTGAAACAACTAAATTGTTTAAAAGTGATTATTTCATTCATTATAAAATAGACCTATCAGACAACGTCATTTTTTGAATGAATTTTGTTTAAATAAGTGATTATTTCACAAGACCTTGTTTATCAGCGATTAAATTTTTGTTTACCTTTTTTGACAGAATTTTGATAGAAATATTCTGACATTTTATAATAAATAGAACTCTTTGGATAGGATTGACGCCAATAATTAAGTCCTAATTATTCAGGAAATAATCTAGCCGTATACCACTCGACCTATAAATTTAAATGGATTAAACTATCCAAATATTTTTTGCATAATTTTGCTTTTTGGCAAATAGTTTCATGCACAATAACTTTTAAATAAAAGCCTTTTATTAAGTTATTGTGCATTCAACTATTTTCCAAGCAAAATCATGCTCAAAATATGTTGCATAGTTTAATCGATTAAATTTGAAGGTCTTGTGATATAATATATGATTATTGTCAGTATCCAATTTTATTGAAAAAAAAACTATATGCAGCTTACGGGAAGCAAAACTTAATTTAACTAGATATATCAAAAGATTGAAATTTAAAAACAATTAAATAGATACCTACGATGAGGCTTACCTAAGTGTAAGTGTTGAAGTCAATCAAATCAATAAAAAAATCAAGGGTATCGGGGAGAGCTCTACCTTCTTACCTGTAATTAAAGTTAAAAATAGGTAAACATAGAACTTAAATTTGACTGCCTAAAGATTTTACATTAGTTCACCTTGTAAAACTACCACATTATTGATTTGAAATTAAAAGTTAAATAAACCTTTTAAAGGTTAATGAATCCACAATATATTATATCGATCAGTACTCGATATTAAGGAAATAAATTTATAATAATGCATACTTATTGGATAATAAATAATGATAGAGAAAATGATAATAATAGCCAATATCTGACTCTGATAATTAATTAATTAAATTATTAATTATATTTATTTCCTACTGAATTTACTGTATTTTGTCCATTTCACAAATTTGAGCTCTGGAGGTACCAAACTGGCTCGAGACAACCAAATAATGGCTGGGAATCAATTTCTCATAGTACACGAACTTTCCTTGAAAAGAGGTCCCAGATTTACTCTGAGTTTCCAGCAGAGCGTGATCTTAAATTCGTCAATTTTCACTTGGAGGGGTCCAGGCACGATTGCCAAAAAAAAAAAAGTTTTAAGACGACCTGTTCGGTCCCAAAACAAAAGAGAAAAGAGCAAGTGAAAAGTACCCAAATTGGTTCTGTCTTTTCTTTCTTAATCTGTCAAGCTTATCAAAATCATAAAAATGACAGCGCTACAGGTGACTTGGAAACAACAGAAATCTCGATTTTAGCTTAGGAAAACTATTCAGAAGAATCATAGATGTCGCTAGGTGTACGAAAAAGTATTTTCACAAGTTTTACATGAGTTCAAACTATATAAAAATAATTAAGAACAATAAATATATTTTTGTGACATTTCGTATGTTACAAGAGTGGTAAATAATGGACAAGGCTCGGAGGTCGCTCACCCTAATAACCTTAATGCTATTCTCTTTATATACGTCAGACTTCTCATTTTTCTTGAAATGTGACAGTCACCACTATGTGAAAGAGACCCAGATAGATATATTTTTCTTTTAAACCTGAAAATATCATTAACGCCATCAAATATATCCACTCAAATGTCTTAATATTGAAATTAGTGGTGTATTTTACTGTTTGCAAGAATTTGGGTCTCACTATCAACATTGACCTAAGATTTTCTGCTCACGTTTCGAGCCTAGCTTAAAAGACCCTTGGTAAACTTGAGTTTCTATAATATGTGCATAGGGATAGCTTTAACACCTGTTGTGATAGTGTAATTCCCTTTTGCTGTCCCATCTAGGTTACTGTGTTGTAGTGTACTGGCCTGCCTTGACCCTAAGGGATAGGTCCACGTTGCAAAAGATACAGAATACCTGTCTGCGATATGCTTACGGTGTCAGAAAATTTGACCATATATCACACACTTTGTATGCCCCGACATACCACGAGCCTCTCCCAAAGATCTTTCAGATTTAACGCGGTAGATGTTTTTATATACTTGCCTGATGACGTCAGAAAAGATTTGTTTTCAACTTAATTTGAAATTAAAATATTCTCACACGGAAAGGCCCTACAATCAAAGAGATAATGGCTGTGAGGCATCTACCTAGATACTAGTGAAAAGCCTTCTCACAGCATAGAAAGGAAAATGAAAACATTTAATTGTTGCCTCTGAAAATTATTTTATATTAAGATCGGAGGTATTATAACGATGCCTATTAATGGTCCATTCAGCTAATTGCCAGAAATTAAAAGCCCTGGTATTCACCAATATCTTTTTTCACTTTCATTATAAACCGAAAGAAGTTATTCTGAAAATCATTTTATTTTAGGTTTAATCCATTTCTGCGCTGCTAAAAAGCATCCAAAACTAATTTTCGAAAATTACGAGTACAGAATGCGAACAATGAAGTCTTCAAATACATCAACTTTATGGATATGCACTCAAGACAAGCAAAAATGCAAAGCAAGGATTCAATCATCAGGAAATCGATTGCTTGTTAAAAATATTGCCCACAACCATACACCAACCTTTAACGGCGATCTTGAAATGTTAGAATCGCAGGTTGTTAATTTTAAATATATAGATAGGTTAAATTATCAAAGATGAACCAAATATATACAAAATATATAATTTGATATTCTACCAGTTTATTATTTGACTAGATAAACTTACTTTCAGATGTATTGACAGTGAAATAATGATAACCTTATGGTTCTGATTTTTCTTATAACTTCTCCGAGGATTCTATACACAGTAAAAAATTTAATTGAGTAAGCCGCAAAAATTTTATGAGTTAATAGCAGTCGGTGTTAATTTTTGAGTGAATCTGTTGCAATTTCACTAATTTGTGTGAATTCTACACAAAACTCAGCAAAGAGTTTTGTGTGAAAAGTCTCCATCGTTCGGCTACCGCGAACCACGTCTCCTCTAGGCTCTCAGTTGAGACCATTTTGCTGACGAGGACACAACGTGTGGGGTAGGAGTTAAATTCCATCCCTCTATTTATCAGAAAATTTTGGATTAATTATCAGTTTGAGCCGTAATTTCATGTACATACATCAAAGAGTGTATCTGCAATGTGTTTTAATATACAGAACAGCGTGTTTTTTTATTAAAAACTAAATATTAGTGAAGTGAAGTTAATAGTTATTTTTGTATCAAGGGCGCAAAATGCTACTTTGGTGATTGGGATCTGATTTTTTTAACGAGGCGCAGCCGAGTTAAAGAAATAGTCGAGATCGCCAAAGTATTTCGCGCCCGAGTTGCAAACAATATTTTTTCTACAACTCCATTTAAATATCAATCATTCGAAGCCAAAATTGCATTTTCAATCAAAGATAGGTGAATTTTAATTATTTTTGATTTCCTGACAGGTATGTGTCACGGCGTCATGGAAACGTTAAAAAATCAATACCTGGGAAAAAAAGTGTCACTTCGCAAACTGTCATGAGTGTGCGAACATCATTATTTTTTGACAGTTGTAGAAAATAGTTATTTTTGTATCAAGGGCACAAAATGCTACTTTGGTGATTGAGATCTGGGGGCGGATTACGAACTCTCGATTCGAACCGAAACCGCCATGTTACACCAAAATTTTGATTTCGAACGCACTCCATGCGAATGCATTTCGACGAAAGTCACTCGACTGGTTGATGTCTGTCGAAAAGCTATCGAAACGAAATCGAGGCCAATAAAGTTAAGTTATGTTGGATTTTTGGGGGCCAAAATTCGTTTGATTCTTTATTTTGTTTTGACGTTTTGTAGTATTTTGAACTTTGAACAGAAAAATCGCTGAAAAAAATTGTCTTAAAATTAATGATCGCCATTGGCAGGTTTTATTATCTTTTATAGATAAACATTCTCTATTTGCTAGAGGTCAATTTGCAGGGCCCACCGGCAAAGTCATTCAAAGGAAACTCTGGAACAGCTTACAGAAAATAAAGAATCTGTGGGTAATTGTAGATGAGGTCGTACCAAGTCAATAAGGTTCTGGACCAAGACTTTGCTAAGTCTAAATAGTTCAATAAACCTTGCCTCTGGGTCTTTTTTCTTGAAACAGGGGAGCAGGGTTCCCAAGAGAACGAGTGTTCCGTCTTTGTACCTACTTATGTCGTTATCATTTGCATATCATTGAAAAAGACGGAACACTCGTTCTTCTGGGAACGCTACTCCCTGTTTCAAGAATAAGGACCCTGGATGTAAAAAGGAATCATAACTTTCTCTGATTTCTCTTCTCATATGAATTAATGCACGATTTTCTCGTCTTCTTGCATCATTTTGCCTTCGCCGCCTTATGAATCTGATTATGGTAAACATATTACTAACTTTTTCCTTTTATAAACATTTTTAAACACTTTGAAATTGCGAAATTAATTTTTAAAGAACACAAATAACCACAACACAACAATAAAAAATTAGAATTAGTATTGAGTCAATGTCAAAAAATTGACAAAATTTGGTAAAATTGAGTGAAAGGCGTCACAAATCTCCGAACTTACACGAACACAAAACGAAACTTGTACCTAATCATCTCTGACGTTTCGAGCTCAATCGATGCGTATTCACTTTCGTATCGAGTGTCCATTTCGAGTCGTGTTTTCGTAATCCCCCCGCTGATTTTTTTAACGAGGCGCAGCCGTTTTAAAAAAATAGTCGAGATCACCAAAGTATTTCGCACCCGAGTTGCAAGCAATATTTTTTCTACAACTCCATTTAAATATGAATCATTCGAAGCCAAAATTGCATTTTCAATCAACGGTAGGTGAATTTCAATTATTTTTGATTTCCTGACAGGTATGTGTCACCATGACACCCAGTGTGCGAACTAGCTATTTCGCGCACACGTGCGCGAAATAGCTAGTTCGCGCACGGCGTCATGGAAATGTTAAAAAATCAATACCTGGGAAAAAAAGTGTCACTTCGCAAACTGTCATGAGTGTGCGAACATCATCATTTTTTGACAGTTGTAGAAAAAATATTTTCTCACCGAAAAGTTTCAAAATTAAATAGATGATTATTAATCTGTCAAGAGGCCTTGAAAGAAATAAATTCCGGTAAATTGTCAGTAATCAGAAGGTTGATTATTAATATTCATCAACGTCTTTTTTCAGCTTCATTTCAAAAGCAGAAAATTATTCTAAAACTCATTTTATTTTAGGGTTAATCTATTTTTCTGTGGCTCAAAAGCATCCAAAAATTATTTTCGACAATTACGAGTTCAGAATGCGCCATATGAAATCTTCGAACAAAACCTTATGGATATGCACTCAAGATAAAAATAAGTGCAAAGTAAGGATTCAATCATCTGGAAATCGATTGCTTATTAAGAATATCGCCCACAACCACGTACCAACGTTTAATGGTGATCTTGGAACACTAAAATCACAAATTGTTAATTTCAAATATATAAATAGGCTATGTAGCCTTGAATAGGCCTATTATATTATTGAAAATTAGAATTTTTCAAATAAATTTTCAAAATCAAAAAATATAGTGTGGTCAGAACTATTTCTGTTTAGCTACATAAACAGGTGGGGGTCAGAATCCACGGCTTGCAACGCTTTAAATATTGTATAAGTGAGGTGCATATCAAATTTTTTTCATGGTAACCTGTTAGCCGGAATGGAAGTTTCAGGGTTGCACAAAAAACATATTCTTTCATAAATACATTTTTTTGATAAGATGAAAGCCATTTTATCAGATAAAAAGGTTAAAAAAATATTGTATTCTACCTCATTGGTCATTATTTTGAGGGTGCTCAAAAAGTTTATTGCACAATATACCAAATCTTCCACCATCAAACTGTCTTCGCAGCCCAATTTATTTCAACCATAATTTTACTTTACATGTCCTTCATATTTGTAATATTAAGAATCTATTTCGAGAATCAAATTATTATTTATAATTGTTTCTACCAGTGGCGCACCCAGGGAGGGGGCTATCGGGTCATTATATAGTGGTCACTATCGTTGGAGATGTTGACGGACAACCAACTGATAATGGTATGATAATGTCAGTTTATTACAGTACTGACAGTACCTCCTCAAACTATACTATATGCCTGATAAGTATATTACATTAGAAGTGATGAAGTGATATTTTTTACACGATTTGGAATGTTTGTTAATATTTTTTTTCTGTTTTTAGATTCGGAAACAACTTTGGAGGCTATTGTCGGAATCAAAAAAACCCTTGAAATTATGAATGCCCGATTAAGAAATATTGAGCTCACAATCAACAGCAAATTCCATAATCCGCAGGGAGGGATTAAAAATGAAATTTCAAAGTTGCTTCCTGTGGAGTCACTAGAAAAACTAGAAGAGCTGGAGTTAAGAATCCAGAATGAATCAGACAGAGAAAGTTTAGTAAGTTTGTTGTTATTATTAAATACCTACAATGTTACTCCTTACAAAAAATGTCTATCTATATAATATTAGGTCAGCACTTCCTTTTTACAAAAAGACTGTTTGAAGTTACTGCAGTCTTATTCAGTTCAAGTTAGTTATTTATTTTTTGAAATAACTTGAAAACAGTTTTCATAAGGGACTAATGTAGGTATGCAACATCCCTTTTTAACTTAAAGGCGCTTTTTAAAACTGGTCACTTTTAAAAATGTGTATTCTAAGCCATAGAAATTTTTAAAGGTACCAGTTTTAAAAAGCGCTTTTAAGTTAAAAGAGGATATTGCATACAGCTGTAAGTATTTAAAATTTTGTTGTCTTTTGTAGTTTCAAGTTCTACAGTATATTGGTGGAACTTCAGAAAAAAGCTGTGTTGTCCGGTGCATTGAAAAGCTTCTTTCGAATCAATGTGGAATGTTTTGTTCCTGGACCGGAAAGAAGGGAAATTTTAAGATAAAAGATTTGGAATCAGTACAGGTAGTAAAAGGTAGGTGCTTTATATCGGACGATTAGGTAATAACTATTTTTGAAATACCTATTTGTGTTTTTTGTAGACGCTGTAAGAATAAGTTTTCCACAAATTAAGGACGATGTATTTGAAAGAGCAATTAGGTCGTGGCTGCAGTTTGCTAAATTAAGGCATGACAGGGGTAAAAAGTAAATAACATAGGAATCTGTTCGCTGTGCCTGCTCTGATTTATAAATGACAAATAAGTTTTTATTTTGCATTGAATAAAATCACTTTTTTCCAAAATAAAAAATAATTCATTACGTTTTGTCTTTCTTTTCAAACTTCCCGTTCCCCAGTAAATGCACATCACAACAAAACACTGGAAGTATTTCAAACATGATACCCCGCAACCGATACATGAGAATTTTGGAACCATACGATTTTCTTTAAATTTTGATATGATGTAGGTATAGATAAGTAAGTACTTCACAAAAAAGTAAGTTAGAATATGGTGGTTTCCCCCGTTTGGCCATAGTGGCATATCAAAGTTACAGCCATCAAAATACATATATAGCATTTTGATGCTAAAAATGAGCCTATATTTGATGGATAGTTAAAGCTGCGGGTATAGCAAATAATTTTTAGTACAAAAGTCCAGTGGTGTACATTGAAATATTGAAAAATTATGAAAAATCTTCTATGGGCGGTGGTAATTCGAAAAAGTAATTCGTTTATCAGGCTGAAAATAAGTTCATATTTGATAAATAATCACAGATGTTAACATTTCAACTTACTATACAATAATTCTAATCCAGTGCCGTAGATAACAGTATTAAAAAATTGTGAACAATATATTTTGTGCGGTGGTGAATGGAAAAAGTGATTGGGTTATTACTTATAAGGCTGAAAATAAGTTCATATTTGATAATAATGACAGAGGCGGATATTTAAACTTAAAATACAATAAGTTTCATCCATTGCCGTAGATAACATTAGTAAAAAATTGTGAAAAATGTTCTTTGTGCGGTGGTTATTGGAAAATGTAATTGGGTTATCTGTTGTGGAGTTTCCACAACTCTGAAACTTGAGGTTTGCGAAGAAGGTTCTGGGTCGTATCCGGCGTAAACAAGAAAAAAAACAAGTTAAATCCTTAGATCACTACTAGAATTTATTACTTAATTGGTTGAGAAAATTAATATACTGAAGCCATTGTGCGTATATTGTGTGACGTGAGTAGCAGAGATTAATACATGGTTATGTGGAAATTAACATTACTACTACTGCTGCTTGCTTAGCGACAAACAGTTTTGTTGCCAACCTAATCACGTGACAAAATGATGGTTTAAAATTATAAAGTAACCTACTTTTAGGTGGCCACCACGGTTTGCTGCTTCAGCATTTAGCATTTACTAGAAAATAGAATATAATAAGTTGCATAAAATGTATTACAATGTTTTATGTTTAAATATAATTATGACTTAAAATGAAGGCTTAAACTAAGTAAAGGACAATCAACGATAATTGATATTGACTTTACAACATCCGTCCCTCCTAAGAATGAAATTTGTAACTGGGGTTACGAATTTCACCAAGATTAGAATTACAAACTTTGGAATTACTATCAGCTATTTCGTTAAACTGGACGTCAGCGGTTTTGTCTATTCGCGGCACTCGCGTTGTTAAACAGATGCTTTCAGCGGTTGCACTTGGAGTTTCACATTTCCTTTTATCTTGATTAACGCACATTGTTTTATATTTCTTAAAACCTACGTAACTTACAATTAAAAACACTACTAAATATACTAGAATATAATGATGAATATGGTTAAAATCAATAGATTTTTGGTTTAACATCTTTTGTTCCTTTGCTTTTAATACATCGATGGAATAACTAATTTTTGCTAATTTTTCATTTTGATCAGGAAGTACTAAAATACTTTTATTCAAGGACAAAGTTTCCATGAAACTGAAACGAAGATCTTGATTATTGATTTCATTTTTAATGTCAAGATTTTGAAAATAATTTGTGTTTATGAATGACTCATTTGCTTCTTTGGTATCAATTGACTTTAGCGTGACAGAACTTGTAAAAGCGATACAGTGCGGTGCAAGTTCTAAAATGCCTGAATTGTTTAAACGAATAGAGTCTTCAAAATTTTGACACTTTATTGTGAGAGTTTCATCGTTTGGACTAACAAAAATCCAAGAATTTATTTTCAGAATTTTGATAAAAATTGTTTTATGAATGGCACTAACTCGTTTTTCACAAGACTCAGGAATTTTCTGAGGATGAGTGTACAACAGTGCCTCACAATCATTATGTATTGGTAAAAGGAACAAGGGATATTTTTCTTTACAAACGTACTTATCTATTCTTGAACAATCTTTCAAATCATTGTTATCAAGAAAAAAATAGTTTCGCTTAAGACTATCTATTACTAAGTAATGGTGTTCTGATGAAATAAATGAGAATATATGAAAAAGTTTATCATTATTCACTTTTATAGGTAAACTTGTCATCTTAACGATATTGTACGAAATATCACTTACAAGGGGTATGTATAAAATAAAGTACAATTTATAATTTGAGTAAAACACATTTGGATGCATTGTTTTATACAGGTCATGAGAATAATGATGATAAAGAGGTACAGGAAATGATAACCCTTTTGGTAAATACATGCTTTGGTTAACTAAATGGTTTATGAGCCTTTTTGGACTTAGGACTAAAGGATGTAAAATACCATTTTGAGCATACAAAATTATGTTTAATAGATCACTTTGGTAAAACTGGAACTGTTCGGAGACCAGTTCGAATAGAGAAAATTACTCAGAGAACTGTAATGCGAAATTTCCATATGAAGTGATATTATCAATAACACCTTTTATGTGATTATTGATGAAAGTTTCAATTTGATTGACTTTTCCGTTTAAATTTTCAAAAATTTGTTTATTTGCTTGATTTGATGAGTTGAGGGATAGAATGGTATTTTCAAAAATACTTGTTTGTTCTGACAGTAAGTGTTGCATATTTATCTGATTTGTTTCCAGTTTTTGGAGAATTTCGTTGAAATGTTTAGCATCATTTTCATCTAAGGTTCCAAACAAAACCTTTGCAACATTGCCTACGGCATTGACTAAACCTCGTTTGGTTCGATTTAAAAATTGCTGGCTATTTAGAATTTCTCCAATTATACTGTTATTATCTTGAACACGGTGAAGAACACGACTTATCCGATTAAATAAGGCTCTTTGCCATAATGCAAGGTTTCAAATATTCCTTTTGAGAATCTCTCAAATCGCAAAGTTCTACCATTTTTTTATAACTAAAAATAAAATTATCGTAGAGGTCATAATAATTTTCTAAATCTATAGAATTAATCAACTTCCATGAACAAGTTTCTAAATGAACTGTATCAATAGATTCGTACAGAATACCAGCACTTCTGTTGACTGCCTGCAAGGTGAAAAATTTCGTTTTTGTATCGCCCAGTATGCATGCAAATGAAATGGAAAGAATTGCTAGTAAGGCTTTCATCTGAAACAAGAATAAAATGACTACCTTGAGTTATATAATTTTAATCGGTTATTATGAACCTTTTGATGTTTATTTTTGACTAAAATTGTTGAATTTATTTCTGAATTTGCTTTAATTACTTTATAGGGACCATTCCTAATTGATCCTTTGTGACGAAATTTCGTAAATATTCGCCTAGCCTTTTATGGGACCTTTCAAGACTGCCATTGCTTTGAGGTCTGAAAGCGGTCGTTTGAATTTTTGTAATTTTTAATAATTTACAGACATTTTAAAATAATTCGCTTAAAAAGTTTTGACCTTGATTCGTTAAAAGATAAGTTGGAGTACCGTGTCTACAAATGATGTGTGAAACGAATTTTTCTGCAATGGTTTCGGCTTCTTGATTTTCAAGAGGTACAGCTTCACAAAATTTTGTTAGTTCATCTTGAAATGTTAGAATATATTTATTTCGGGAATTTGTTACGGACAGAGGTCCCACGATATTAAGGCTTACCTTTTCAAAAGGTTTGGAGGCTGTAGAGGTGACAGTTAATGGCATCTTTGTGTATTTTGATGATTTATTCCTTTGGCATAAATCGCAAGATTTTACAAAATTTTTAACACTTTTATATTGATTGGACCATTTATACTTACTTTATTCTATTAAAGGTCTTATTGACACCTAAATGACCTCCCAGTGGAGAATCATGGAATTCTTTTAGGATTTTACGAATTTCATCCTTAGATTTAATTTTCATTAGATTATTATGATGAATTTCTACCAAATCTGAATTACCACGAAATATATATCTAAACATAATGCGAATGTTTTCGATTTGTAAACTTTTATACGGAGAATATTTCGTAGGATTAGAAAAGGCTATTTTATGGTAATTACCTGTATGTGCAAAAGATTTCAAACATTTAATTGCTACGAAAATTATTTCATTCGTTACAATAGTATTAGGTTCATGCGTTGGAATAAAAAGATAATTAATGTTATTTATTGTAATAAGAATCGGTGTTAAAACGATTAAGGTGTCCGATTGCAACTTGCATTTTGCTTCGTCGTTAAGGTCATCGGGAAGTTGCGAATTGTCTTTACTTATGAAATAGGCACGCAAATAATCAGGGTTGGAATCAGAAATATTTTTGTGTGAATCTTTTATATTATTATTAATGCTTATGGAGGACTCCTTTTCTATGAGAAAGTTTTCAAAGGTTAATTGATTAAGATCGTAATTTTTGTTTCGTGTGCTTACTGGATTCACGTCATATACGATTCGACTTAATGCATCGGCATTTGTATTATATTTGCCGGGCTTATGGATTATTTCGTACTCGTATTCTTCGAGTTTAAGACGAAATTTCATTAACCTACTTCCTGGGTCTTTCACGGAAAATAACCATATTATTGGTTTGTGATCGGTGACAATCAAAAATTTACGGCCATATAGATAGGCTCTGTAATGCTTGACTCCCCAGGTTATGGCTAATAGTTCTTTTTCAATGACACTATAGTTTCGCTCTGCTTTATTCAATGTCCGGGATGCGAAAGCAATGGGACGGTCTGAGCCAACTGTCCCTTGTGAAAGTACTGCTCCTACAGAAAAATTGCTTGCATCACAAGTGAGAATAAATTCCTTCGAAAAATCGGGGTACTGCAGGACCGGAGGATTACACAGTTTTTCCTTGAGAGTTTCGAAACACAAA